TGCTGAGGGTCTGATGTGCTTTAATCGGCTACAAGTAATTTAATAGTCTATATAATTTTAAATTTGACTGTGGCTAAACTAAGAAACAACATAATTTAAATTATTTAAAGACAAGGCTCACTGTAATTTAGCTGCCAAAACTTTACATACTGGGTGGAAAAGACTGAAATAGATCAACACCATTAACTGGAGATACAGAAATAGCATGCAGTGCTTCTAAACGCTAAGTATCTTTTTATAAATTATGTACTTATAACAAAATACTTATAACAAATTCTTCCTTTAGCCTTACATCACATTTTTCTTTGCAGGGATGTCTTTATGTATGAAAAATACAGTGCAGTATCTCCAAATTTACAGCATTATGTGTACAGAATGGATTTTCAGAAAATTTCTAAGTTTAAATTCAAATTAAGTAAAACTGAGTCCCTTTAAGACATTTACCACTGGTCAATCTTTGAGTAATCAAAATAATGCAGTAAGAGACTGCAAATGTTCTGTATAAAAAAGTAAAGTGTTCACAGGCTAAAAGAATACAAAAACAGCCATACTGGGTCAGACTAAACCTCCATCTAGCCCAGTATTCTGTCTTCTAACAGTGGCTAATGCCACAGAGGGAATGAATGGAATAGGCAATTATCAAGTGATCAATCCTGTTGCCTATGCCGATCTTCTGTCAAATGAGTTTGGGACACCATCTCTGCCCAGCTTGGCTAACAGCCACTGATGGCCCTATCCTGCATGAATCTGTTCTATTTTAGAAGCAGTTGAATTTAATTAAGCTAATTGTTAACAATGTTACCTATTTGCTATGATTATGTAGGCTATTTATCCAGGCAACATGCCAGATCAATCTTAAACAGGGCTACAGTGATGCAAGAGGTAACTCAACCAACCAAACCACAACCCATCCTTTAGCTAGTTGACATGCAATACTACTACTGGCTATCACAACTCAATAACAGAAGGGAGATTGGACATCTGATTGGAATGGGGTAAATTATTGAGCCCAACTAGCTTTCCTTTTCCGTGGGCCGCCTGCTTGCCCAGATGTCGGTGCCTAAGGGGTTTCGTGTAACACTGCTGCCTTGGCCCTCCTATGCAATGAAACACAAACACAGGGACGCTGGGATTCAGAGACTGGGCTCTCCCCCTGCTTCTATTTTTCCCCCCAAGCCCTGTGAGAAATCATTTTTGTGCTGTGCGGATGTGCACCACCACGAGAAACACACTGCTGGCTGTGGGGGCTCCGCTGGTCAGCTGGGGCAGGCTGCACTTGCCTCTCTCGGGGCAGGGGAGCGCCCAAGCGCTCAGCGTACAGGGAAGGCAAGTCAGGGCCTCCCCTGCCCTTCACTCTGCCCTGCGGCGAAAGGAGCCAGCACGGATCTATCTCCTCTGCAGCAGCCCCGCGCGCTGCCGGGCCCGCTGTCCTGGGGGGCGGCGCGGGCGGGTGAGGCCCCGCTAGGCCCGGCGCGGACTCACCTTCTCGCAGAGGCTGCGCACCTGGCTCCTGCTCAGCTGCTTGCACTCGTTGAGCTGCTCGATCCACTGGTCCAGCTCCTTGGAGGAGCCCTTCTCTTATGCATCGGAGAAGGCTAGTTTGCTTTGGGGCACTAGTTGTAAGCTTAAAGTTAAGCGTGTGCTAAAGCTTTTGTGGATTTATGGTCGAAATAGTCAAAGGAAACAGAAGAAGTGTAATTAGCTCAGTTTTTTATAGGGAAGGTTATAGCCTAGGGAGATCATCTGACTTGCTTATGGTCATGCAGTGTCAGATGTAGATAAGGGAACTGAACCCACAGTACAAAGCCATTGCTTTTGCTCCACTTACGGTTAGCTCATTTTTGTGGCTTAGCCCATGATGGCATTTGAGTATGTAACATCTAATGGCTGTCCCACATTCTGATCATACTCTGTTATTTGTGCTCGTTGCCTTGGCTTAAGACCTTTGCAGTAGGGATGTGGTTTCAATTTAGCTATGGCCTCTCAGTCCACAGCTCTGAGTAGGAAGTCATACCAGGACAGCACAACACAAGATGCCCTTACATTTTTTTCCTATATCCTGATCCAAGAGGGGTGTCTTTGCGTGCCCAGCTAGAAGCAGTGATACTCAATAAGTCATAAAGCTCTGGATTGCCACAGTCCTTCCTTGGATGCACAGAGAGGTGAGGGGAAGTAAGTCCTAAACTTTCAATGGTGAACAAGTGGAGCTGGGGGAGAAGAAAGGAGAATGTGGAGAGCCAGAACCCTCCCTTCCCACCTACCAGATGTAGCTAGAGAAGGACAGGGATGGAAGAAAAATGTTCCACAAAATGGGGCGACATACAATTACTCATAGATTTTAAAGGCCACAAGAGACTTTAATATGGAGAAATACCTATCTCATAGGTCTGGAAGGGACTGGTTTATGTTTGTCTATTTAATATGGAGATATACACATATCTCATAGAGCTGGAAGTGACTAGTCATTGAGTGCAGCCTTCTACTCTCACAGCAGGACCAAGTATCATCTCTGACAGATTTTGCCCCAGATGGCCCCCTCAAGGAATGCGCTTACAACCCTGGATTTAGTAAGCTAATGCGCGAACCACTGAGCTATCCCTCTAACCCAGAGATAGGCAATCTAGCCTAGTGTGTGGGCAGCATGAGTTGGCCTCCTTCATCTCTATTGGTAGCAACATGGTTGTAACCAAGACAGTCTCCCAGGCTAGGATAGACTTGCTAACTGCTCTTGTGTACCTAGAATTTGTGGGGTGTGCCCATTGAACTATAGCAGCACTGTGGATGCAGATGGAGCGCACAGCTCTCACAGTGAATGTTGTGTGCCATCTAGACACACTTCAATTCACGTGCCCTGACTTTACGTGTGTGTCACTTTAGTAAAGCACTACACAGATGGAAACCAGCGGAATCTGGCACATGGGCAACGGTAAACAAAATATCTCGTGGGCCTCGGATGGCCCACCCTTGCTCTAACAACTGCTTCATCAATCCTTCCTCTTGCTCATTTCCAAGCTTAACTAGGGAGCTCTAGACACATTAATCCCACTAGTTTGAATGGAACTTCTGTGGCCTAAATACACAAGGTGTTAAAAATCACAACTTCCACTTTCAGGGCCAAAGCCAAGGCCCACTGAAGTTGGAGGAAAGAGAAATACTTGGCTGCTTTTCTGGAAAAAGCGGCCAGTCTAGATTCAGCCCTAGAGCCACACCCAGATCCCCTATTGCCCCATGCCCAGACACTCCCCACAGCACCGCTCGGACCCTCCTTGCACCTCACAGAGCCACTCCCTGTCCCCACCGCTCAGACCCTTCAGCCCCGCTCAGCCCCCCAGCGTCTCTCAGGCCCCTCACACCTCGCAGAGGCAAGTCCAGACTCCCCAGTATTGCTCAGACTAAGGATGTAAAATCCCATTTAATCAGTTAATCTACAACTGGCATGATTTTCTGGAAATGCTTTTAACGGAAAAGTTTTCCGTTAAAAGCATTTTTGGAAAAGCGCGTCTAGATTGGCAGGACGTGATAACAGTCTTTAAATATAGTAAGGAATGTTATAAAGAGGAAGGCGATCAGTTGTTCTCCATGTCCACTGAAGGTAGGACGAGAAAGTAATAGGCGTAAGTTAGATATTAGGAATCACTTTCTAATTATAAGGGCAGTTAAGCACTGCAATAAGTTACCAAGAAAGGCTGCGGAATCCCCATAACTGCAAGGCTACGTCTACACTGGCATGATTTTCCGGAAATGCTTTTAACGGAAAACTTTTCTGTTAAAGGCATTTTCGGAAAAATCGCATCTAGATTGGCAGGACGCTTTTCTGCAAAAGCACTTTTTGCGGAAAAGCGTGCGTGGCCAATCTAGACGCAGTTTTCCGCAAAAAATAGTACTGTGCTGTTTACACTGGCCCTCTTGCGCAAAAGATTTGCGCAAGAGGGCTTTTGCCCGAACGGGAGCAGCACAGTATTTCCGCAAGAACACTGACGATCTTACATGAGATTGTCAGTGTTCTTGCGGAAATTCAAGTGGCCAGTGTAGATAGCTGGCAAGTTTTTCCGCAAAAGCAGATGATGCTTACTGCTTAACCGCTGACATCCCTAGCTCAGACCCTACATTCCGAGCCCCCCTCACACTTCTCAGAGCCATGTCCAACCTCCCTCCTGCACTGCCCTAGAGAAACTCCCAGACCTCCTATTCAGAACCACTTAGAGCCCCATTCACCCCTTCCAGAGTGAAAATGGGATACCCCAAAGGGCAGCTTGAGGCTCCCCACAACTGCTCTACACACGTTATCCCCCCCTCCCCCGTCTTCCATGTGTGTGTCTGGCCCAGCCTGAGCCTCCCTCCAGCTCAGGGCTGGCATTGCCATTTGCCTTCCCTCCCTGTGCACCCCGCTAGCAGTTGCACTCCACTTTTTTTTGTCAAAACTGGGCATTTGCTAATAGGTGACACAGGGTTACCCTACCCACACCAACTCAGTGCCACTTGTAATGCCTCCTGCCCAGCAACATCACTTCCAGACACACGCATCCCATGGCACCACACAGAGCCTCTTGCACCATCCCAGTCATTTCCAGACACTCCAACTTCAGTGTCACACTGAGTCCTACTCACGCCCCCTATAGCCACTCCCAGACACCCCAGTCCCACCCCAGAATCACTCCAAGTCCTGTGACTGGCTGTAATTCCATTTCCACACACACCTCAGCACTGCCCCGAGCTACTTCCAGGTCCCCACCTGGCTATCATACACACAGAACTAGAGGTGGGGAGTGCTGCAGCATCCCCAAGTTTTACATGGGGCCCTGGCTGCTGGCCGTACACCTGAAGCTCCATGGCCCTACTCCTAGGCTCAGAATTCTCCTCCTGGGATGCTGGCCACTGATCTTGTGCCTGGGGTGCTGTAACATTTGCTTTTTGAAAAATCTACTTGGAGGGTGGAGGGTCGAAAAAGGAAACTTTTGTTTCTGTTCTCACACAGCCTCTAGCATGCAAAATCTTTCCCAGCTGAATGTTATGAGTGTTTCAGCTATTCGTTCATGAATTCCATTATAGGGCAACACCAGCAAATTCCCAGTCGAGTCCCCAGAAATGTGCATCTTAGTCTTTCCTGTTGTGCAATGCAAGTTCATAGAAAGTACATCATTTCAACAATAGAAAGTCATCATGCACAAATGTGGTTATCCCAAATGGGACTCCCAAACACTTTAATACAAACACAATCATTTCCATAAATCAAGTTTATTAGCTACAGAAAAAATTTAAGTGTTTGCAAATAATGAGGCACAAAAGTCAGAATTGGTAACAAAGAAAATAAAAGGCAAAATGCAAATTTAATACCTAACAGGAAGCTAAATCAATTGAAAGTAAAGGCTTTTCTCACGTTTTTTTTTGCAGTCTTTAGTGGATGAAAGCCTTCGAGCCAGAACCACTCCCCCCAGTCCAGTGTTTCTTCAGGAGTTACTACTATTGTGAGCAGAGAAGAATGAAGGTGAGATGATTTGGGGCCACTATTCCTCATTTTTTTATCTTTTCAATGTCATTTAAAATAATCTCCATCAGGGGTCCAGCCAACAGCAAATCAGTTTTGCATGAGAACTCCACGCCGCTTATTTGACAATATATAAATGTGTTGCTTACGTGCTTCTTACCAAAAAAATGGTCACTTAACGTGGTAATAGTCCTTCTGATTATGTTAAAACCTGACTGAGATGCTGGCTAACCTTTTGTCTCTGATGAAATGGATTAGGCTGCTTTAAAAAATCTTGAAGCATATCTGAGCAATTTAATACAATAAAATCTTATATTTTTACGTGCACTATTGCCACACATTTTACCAGGACAATAACCGTCAGTGAATTATGGGTTTTTAAATGATACCTCACAAGGCATGCTTTTACAAAACTGTTACTTTTGTACAAAATGGTGAACATAAGGGTACAGTTTGTCACAATAGGGTATTACCACAACACTAATTTAACCATAATTTTCTTCACTAAATGCAAAGGATTAATGTTCACAGAGTTGCTCTAAATATCCTAAATAAGTATTTTACTACATCCCAACAGTAACAAAACATTTATAAGCATTTGATCAAGATACTTACAAACACACCAAACTCAGGGATGCTTAGACCCACATTGGTCAGTTCCAACTTGGTGAATAGGTATTAGAAATTAACCCTTTAAGAGTTAACTTTTTAAATATTTTTGTAAGTGACATCATTGCCCATTATTGGACTCTAGCTAAGGGCAGATGAAGAAATTGTTTATATAGCCTAGGGATATAAGTGATTAGTCGACTATCTGATAAGCATAAGCTTATCGGATAGTCGAGTAGTCACTTGATTAGTTGTTTTATCCCCTCCCGCACTGCCTCTATCAGAGAGGGGCAGCAAGGGGGGGGAGGAGCAGAAGCTGGTGTTGGGGGAACTCAGCTTAAAAGCCAGTTCCCCCCAGCACCATCTCTGTGGGGGTCAGGGGAGTCCCTCTTGTACATTTCAAAGGGCGAGGCACAGCAGTCAGGACCCTGCCTCTCCCTTTGAGCCCAGCTGCAGTGGCTCTTGTACATTTCAAAGG